ATCTTTGCCAGCCGAGGCCCGTTTCTTCGGCACAGTTTTATACATTGTCGTATTCTTTTCAGTCAACGTTTATTTAAGGGCGCCCTCAATACATTGTCCAATGAAATCGATCTTTATAGCTGTATAGTATCACGGCTCATATTGATACGCCTGCAAAAGATTTCTTTCCAAGACAAATTGAGGTGACATTTTACAATCGATTACTTGAGGGCTGAAAATCAAATTAGATCAGTTCATTTCATAAATTGTGTTTCGATATTTTTCACTGAAATGTACAAGCCTAAAAGTCTGTCCGCCGACCAACAAATAAGAAGTATAGTAGTACCAATAAGCCATTCTCCAAATATCAGTAGTTTAGAAAAAATATACTGACAAAATCGATGGAAGCGGAACATTACAAACCCCCTCCCCCCACAATGGAGTCAGACAAGGTGCACGTGAAGGGTAAGCATCTGCTGCTGGCATGCCACACCCGCCGTGATGTTCCAAAGTCATGTCAGGAAAAAAAGTCAAATCAAGGTTACTGGACAAACAACCTCACCAAGTTACAAGGACAAACACGACTACATACATCAGTCAACAAACATATGTACAAATGGGTGTACAAAAATAAGAGTAATTGTTGAACAATAAGTCACATGACTACGCGGTATAAATAGCATATTGTTTCCCACTACCAAAACATTTCCGTTTTTAAGAAGACATCTAATCGTAGAAGAGGTTTAGCCTTAACCACAGTCCAGCTATGACTGTGACTTAAACCGGGAGGTCGTCACCTGCGCACGCGCGGGAATTGAGTCCCAAGAGACGATAACAACACGCTAAAACGCAAAGGCTCATGGGAAGACGCTTGTTTGTAAAAAATGATACGCTATGGCGATCTGACGCATGCGCAGGTGACGACTTTCCCGCTTTAACATTAAAAAAATGTTGGTATATGTATACTGAGCTTGGCGTTAAATAGGGCAATGCAGACATTAAGTGGCATTAATGTCACTTGATCACGACTCCGAATGACAAATGGCGGAAGCAGAATGTTCTTAATGCGGGTATGTTTATCATTCTTGCGCTGATTTCACAGTGTATTTTATCATTATTGTTTATGTAAATTTTCATATGAGACTTTCGATGTATGGCTGGGTATGCTGTTTCTACTTAATTCATATTGTATTGCTGGTTTCAATTATTGTGTTTATAGCCTTCATTCTAATTCATAAAGAGTCTGTCAAAACACGTTTTTAATTAAAATATCGTTTGTGCTTGTTTGCTGATCATGCATGCGAGTTTTTTCATTGATTGTGTTTCAAATATTGTCACTAAACTGCAGCTTACTAAAACCCTTTAAAGTGTTAACAAATCTAAAACTTTGGAAATGATCGAACGTTTCCATGTTGGTAGCAACGCTGAACACACCAATATACAGCGATTATTCGCCACCCCACAGTACTTATATTTTCAAGTCGACATTACAATTACACAATTATGGAAAATATAATAAGTAATTTGAATATTTTTGAGGCGCTTGATTGGGGCATTTTAGATACTTAGATTTTTTGGTTAAAATGGTTACTTCATTGTGATATTTGTTAACACTTATCGTCAAAAATGTGTATTCTGCGCC